AGACCTTTGCACTGCCAATGCAATTGCTTACTAACGAGACAGTCAAACAGTTTAGGTATAGCTGATTGGATACATACACTGCGATAGTTCTCCACATTGTCCTTTTTACCGCTCTTGAATATTGGAACAATGTGACTAACTTTCCATTTGTCAGGAAATGTAGATAACTTCAAAGACTTATTATATAGCAAATGCAAAGGCAGCACAATGGTACAGACACATTGTTTTAATAGAAAATTTGGTATTCTATCAGGTCCCGAAGTAAGTTTGTTTGGCAGTTTGCTAATCTCATTGAAGATAACAGTCTTCGAAATTTCGGAATAATTAATGTTTGTGCTCAAGTTGTTATCATTAAATTCTGAAGAAAGATCGGCGGAAGATGTGTTTTTCTTTGAAGAGATTGGCTATGTCTTGGCCATTATGAGCAGACTGGGCACCATAAGAAAAAGTACTGGGCAAACTATGACTTGACCTCTTATCTTTAATATACTTCCAAAAAGACTTAGGGTCTTCCTTCAGCTTAAGATCGATACCTCTAATGTAAACATCAAAACAGTGCTCTGAAAGTTTTTTACATTCTGAACGAAGCTTCGAAAACCTTAAATAATTATCTTCGGAACGATCCTTGATATAGAGGGTGTGAGCATGTTTCTTTTCAACAGTTAGTTTCCTTAACTCAGACGAAAACCACTTTGGAAAAGAAGATGTTAATTGACCACCTACCTTATGATTTAGATTTTGGAAAACTTTGAAAGGTCATAACTTTTTTTTTCTATTTTGGTGCAGAGCTGGGCAGTAATTCCCTTGAAAGTGCTTGAAAAAGTGCTTCAAGCACAATAGTGCTTCGAGCACAGTGTTTACAAGCACTTTGAAATTACAGTGCTTGGTAATTGGTAATCGAAGCCCTCTATAAAAAGTGCTTGGCAATTGGTAATTGATTTTCGCATTTCAAGCCATTTAAAGTGCTTGCAAGCACTTAAAAGGCTTGCAAGCACTGAAAAGAGCTTGCAAGCACTAAAAATCAAGTCCTTAGTAACAACTTAACGCAGCATAAGCTTTAATGTGATTGGCTGGTTGAAGGCCGACTCGGCATCGGCAATATGGAAACAGTGTTGTGTATTGTGTTAAGGTTTCCCACGACCCGTAATATCGCAAGCCGGATTGCGCCGTCCTTCCCATGGAGCGTTGGCGCGTGTAAGCGCGGCCCGGCCTGCAATATCATGGGCCGTGGGAAGCCAGCTTTATAGTTGAGTTATTGGTTATCGATCGTTATTCAATATCAGTTGTGTTCTTTTACCCATCCTATGCTGATTTGCGATTGCCAGTTTATTTATAAGTCTTTATCTTTAGTTATAATAATAATTCGATGATACAGTCAGGGGCGGATGGGGAGCATGAAACCGGCCCGGGAAACCATTGGCACCGGCCTGGCCTGCCAGATCAGTATTTTAAAACCATTTTGTGTATTTTTCTAAAACTAAGTTTTTCAAGTAGGTAGGTACCTATCTAATGGTAAATGATGAGGTGAGATACGTAATATGAATAGGTACTCACGACTAACATTGAAATTATGAAGGAAAAATCTCAAACAAGTATCTTTGTTTGAGGGTTCCAAATGGTTTATTGAAGTTCTAAAGGGCTCTAAGTTGGCTTGAAAAATTCTGGAGCATTCTAGAAGTTTTGCAGTAATTTCTTAATTGTTGTGACAGATTTTTAAGTATCCTAGAGCCCTATTGAAGCTCTAAAGTGTTCTAAATTGGTTCAAAAAAGTTCCAAAAGGTTTCCAGTTCTAAATAAGGATTCAATTTAGAACCTTGGAATTGTTCTTAAATAACTCTGAACTGAACTGAATAACTGTTTTGGGGCATTTCTTAAATGGTTCTGAAATTTCCGAAATTTTCTGAAGCGCTACAGAATGCTTTTGGAAATTCTGAATTGAATTTTAAGTCTTTTGAACTTTCCAAGACATCTCTTAAAGTTCTAAAGTGTTCTGTAGCATTTTTAATGGTTTCTAGTAACTTCTAAATTGAATGAGAAATGAATTCTATGGGAAATTTTTCTAGACATCTTAAAGACGTCCCTAAGATGTCCACAAAAGACATTCAAGACGTCTTGCTTAGGTCTTTAAGGCGTCTCAAAGTCAGTTTGAAGACGTCGTAATGTTACAAAACCCAGCGTCTTGCAGAAATCTGCCTAAAGACGTCTTTAGGACTAAGACATTCTAAAGGCTCCTTCGACGAGATGTCTTAAAGACGTCTTGAATTCTCTTTTCAATACATAAACCATTATTCACTTTTAGGCTTGGTTGGACCAAATAGTTGTCATTAAGATATGAATTTACGACATATGGGCATTTTCAGAACAACGTCTTCTAGACGTCTTTTTTTTTGGTCTTCAGACGTAATGTAGACCTGAAAAAGACGTCTTTAAAACTTTGTGTGCTGTCTGTCGTATCTATTATCTATTACTCTTTTTACGGATGTTCATCACTAACATGACATTAAGTTGGGTATGGACTCTACCTGAGTTGGGAATCCCACAGCTACGTACAGGGTAAAACCGGCGCTGATCGCCACCTAGATTAACATTAAGGCCAGGCCTAGAAGCAGCAGAGGATAAATGCGTTCGTTGCGACCGATACGTACAAATGCGCGCTTACCTTGGGTCATCACTAGGGGCTAGCAGAAAAATGCGTCAAATATCATTTTTCCCAGTAAAAGAGTTTGACTGAATTTCTTGATAAAAAATAGTTTTCAAAGATGGAGGATTTAATTTTTCCATATATGCTTGAACCGGCCCGGAAGTAAGCGGCCGTTCGGGTAAATTCCCAAAATCCGTGCTGGCCCATCCGCCCCTGGATACAGTGTACTGTAGTGTATGTAGAGTGAAGAGACGAAGACTAATAACAAATTAAGAACAAACAACTTTGGTTTGATGATTTTATTATAACTATCATCATATCAACATCAACCAAAAGCGTTAAAACTTATTACACTTCAAATTGCTTTCTCCCCAGACCCCAATTCAGCAACATCTTTATTTTAAAAATAAATTGGAAGCAATTGGCAGAGTAGTGCTTCGTAATTGGTAATTTATTTGAGATAAAAGTGCTTGCAAGCACCTGCAAGTAATCAACAATGATTTCAAACACTTTCTGAGTAATTGGTGCTTGGTAATTGAATTTTGCAATTACTTTCCTTGGTAATTGGTAATTGCAATCACTAAGAATTTCCAAAGTGCTTGGTGCTTGATGCTGGCAATTCCTTTTCCTAAGAGCTTGATGCTTGGTGCTCCAAGCACTTTTTTCGAGTGCTTTGCCCAGCTCTGTTTTGGTGTCATATCGAAGTCTTTTCGTCACTAAAAGTAGTTTCGAAAAGAAGCTCTTTGTGACACTTCTTTTTTACTTATTGGAGGTTGGTAACACTGACTGACTAATGGCCATCGAACTGTCATTCGCGATTTTATAATAGAAGATTTCTATATTTGGCATGTAGTGTCACCAACCTAAACATATGAAATCAGGAAATATGAGAACAAAATTTCCAAGAATTTTTTTTTTTTTTTTTTAAATTAAACAATACCAAAATAGAAAAAATAGTATAAAATATTCGTTTCATAAGACATTTTATCGCACTCGCCCTTTAGAAAACTCGCCTCCGGTTCGTTTTCTATAATATAGGGCTCGTGCGATAAAATGACGTCTTATGAAACTTGTATTTTAATGTACTATTTTATTATTGTATATAGCTCTGGTAAAAAAAAACCCAATTTTGTTCGACATGCAATAACAATTTAATGAGGAAATTCGATCTTATTTCTTGAATATATACGTTGGCATTTTTCAAATAATTCCTTCGAAAGATATTCCCATATACATTTCCAATCGCCGCAGTTATTATTATTCGAAAGAAAAACGAATCGATTTCTCAACATAAAAATTCCAATTTAAAAAGTTCTTTGCATGTAACAGTGGGCGAGTCAATTGCATTCAGACCTCGCTGATATTGCACTCCATCCATTAACTTCTCTATATCCGGAGGAAGTTTTCGAACGAAAATCGCATAAGGATGAACAATTTCTTTTGCACTATACATAACAAGCAAGATCTGAATTAAGTGTATTGATCCTTTCGGAAGAGTAAGTTAGTTTGATCAGCTGAAAGCAAAGATGTTTTAGGTCAAAAGGGAACTAGATCCTTTAGTTTATTGGGTCAACTTTACATTTGACGTTACCAAACAACAACTAAGTGGTTCACCCCTAAATTTCTTGTTCAGTTCAAAAAAGACGAAAATGCAAGTAACATTTTTCTATTTGGAAAAAGAAAAACAAAAAAGCATTGTTAACCCAAACATATTTTCCCCCGAAGGCTTAGCTCCGGGGAATAGGAGGCACAGAAACTGGAGAAAATAAGGGCCCCATAAACAAAACGTAAATAAGAACTGCTCTGCAGCAGCACTGTGTGCACTCTGCAGAGATGCACATACGAATGCATTAATAATTTGCTATGGATTTACGAGGATATAGTCATCTATGGAACAATAGGGAATTATAAAATAGTGCCCAGCCTATATATGGTGGATAGGAGAATTTTGGGTCATAATTTTCGAGGATAATCGATTTAGTTATGGAGCAGATTCTCTATTTTTAGGTTTATTTCTTCAATACTTGACCCTTTGAATTTCAAACATGATTTACTTTGAACATGCAACTGACTTTTTTGAACTTCGCATCAACGTCAAGTGCAATATCGATTTAACGACAAAACTTGTGAAAAATACGTTTTTATATAACCGACATATTTTCAGCCTCCATTCCTCAGCTTCTTTATTAATATCATAAATCCACATGCCTCACTAATGATGGGTCTTTAATGAGTTTTTTTTTTCGGAGCCTGTCCATCACAAGCCGCATGAAAACCCTAATGATGCCAGAATGGTCATTACGGAGGAATTATTTTGTCGTTTGAGTGCAGAGAGTAATTTTTTTAATTATTATTTCAGATCGGAGTACGCCAGTTCCAAGACCGCCGGACGACGAAGACTCGTTTCCCGTTATCTGTGATAGAGACTTTCATTCGTTACATCGAAATATTCCTGCTCTACGACGTCGCGACGTCGATACTACGACTATAAAGCAACATTATTATCCTGAAGGTAAATACTGTCACATTATACACACAGTATATACAGTATTAAATCGTCAAATATACCTGGACCTAATAATTAGTCACGATCTGAATAATTGAGCTTTGGTTATTGAAACAATTTTTATTTTAAGGTGGTTGGGGTTGGTTGGTATGTGGTGCAGCATTCCTAGCACACCTCCTCACCTCAGGTATGCAACTAGCTTTTGGACTATTGTACCTCTACACAATGAAGTTCCTAATTAAGAGCAAGAGCGAAAACGAGAGGGAATTTTACGTAATGGCAACAGGTAATTTTTTATTTAGATTTAGTACCGGCACCTTCTCATTTATTCACCTCAATCGTCCGGATCGTAGTTTATTAAACTTGCAAACGACGGTTTTAGTCCCAACTTATTATTGTTTAAATTTTCAAATGGCCTCTACCGGTTTTAAACACTCTTGGGTCACATATTTAATCACATCTGCAATGCAGATGAACGTTTTGTTCGCAATTCTCAAATAGCCAAAAACATAATATTCTATGTAAATATTTATACTAATTTTTCCAATAAAGAAATTATCAATAATTTTGTATTGTTCTGCTTGTTAACCATCATCGGATAAATCGAATTTTTCCTCCACGTATTTTTTCGAGTTTTGTGTTTCCTCGAAGTTTTTTTCTAAAACTTTCAGCTCTTGCAGTAAATTTGAAGTTTTTTCTTTTGTGAGAATTGATATTCTGGTTAAATGAATAATTCTGTCACATCTTAAAATTTCGTAGTAAATTATGCTGAAAAGTAAATTTGATCTGAAACACTAAATACAGTTCTCTGAACCGGAGGCAATCTGAACGAAATCTTCTTTCATCTCTTCTAGGAGTGGTTATTGAAAGGTGTTATTAGAAACTCAAAACTAATACCACTTACACTTACCACTTTTCTGCTGAAGCTGCAAACACCTCCTTTCACCGCACAAATCGGCAAGTAAGATCCTTCTATGCCACCACCAGTGTTTTAATGGGAATTTTAAAACAAGAAAAGAAAAGACTAATTTTGAAAAATTAAAATTAAAGAAAAGAGAGTAATTTCCCAATTGAAAGATTTAGTTCCAAATCTGACACTTTATTGGAATTGAAATTAAAAATAAAGTATCACCTCTTTGAAGAGCTTTCACTAAAACACCGGGTGGCAGATGAACCAGAGGATGAGAAACGGATGGAAAACTCGTTGAGACTTTGCGACTTAAATTTCTGGGGATAACTAGTAGTAAAAACTAGTGGTGAATTGGCGATAACTGAAATTGCCTCAACATCTGCTTAAATAAGCGAAAAGGACCACCCTCTTAAGAAGCCCATTGGCTACCCCTTAGTACCGGGCTTGCGAGAATCGACAAAATCAAATATCTCCAGCCCTCTTAGCTTTCAGCGATTCGTTGAAAGTACCCTCTGGTTTTTTGTTGATTTCTCATTAGTTCTCAAATTTATTCAACCTTCCCCATTCAAACTGCTCCACCCTGTGATCCAGTTTGATGGCTCTCCAACAGCGTTCGCTAGTTACATGTGGTCAAATTATTAATTAAACATTAAATGCTTTCCCTTTTAATTGAAAACCTTTTCCTTTTCTAATTACCTAATATGCTTTCTATTCTTATTTCCTAATTTCTAACCTAGTCAAGTAAAGAAAATAGAAGTTCCCTTATTTTTAACCTATTTATCAAGGGTGTGAAATGAACTAAACTATTCTCTATTAATTTAATAATAAAATATTTGATTTAAGTAATCACTCCTATCCTAACCTAGCTACATCTTAATTATAACTAACGGGTCAATTCTGTGCACATTTGTAAGCAAATACATAATTTTCTGTAAGCCTATAGCTGCCTCCAGCCCTCCAGACACATTGTAGTTCTGCACATCCTGTACCGTAGAGAAAATCTTATAGAATCCTAAATATTTCGGATTGGGTGTTTGGCACTTGCTGCGTTTTGCAGTGACTATAGGCTTATAGAATGTTATAGATTATAGATTTACTTACAGATGTGCACAGAATTGACCCGTAAGTATTCGACTATCTTACGGTTAACATTTCACCCAAGTAATAACCGTTGAATATTGTTGTATAATTTGTTATTAGTAGGAAGTATGTAGGCGTTCTGACTCAAAACAAAGACGAGACAAAGAAACACTCCTCCCCCTATCACTTAAGATATAACCATCTCCCTATCGCGCACAAATCCCTCCACCGCAATTTTCCTGTAACTATCCCCCCTCGTTACGTTTCCATTGGAGAATGTGCACCCATAAGCAACCTCTCATGGGTGCAGAGCACCCATTGGAGCTTTTGTGGGGAATTGCGCAAGTACAAACGTGTTTAATGGTCATTCCGTTCCGTGGGGTAATATCAGTATCATCTATATGTATAAAACACAGTTGGGTTGGTTCTACTACTTATAACTCAAGAACGGCAGGACTGATTTTGCCCTTAATAACATAATAAATCGAAAATATCCAAAACAATATTTCCTATTTTACTTTTTTATGAAAAAAATTCACTAAGCCCCCATACGGTGTCATTTCTTATAACCGACACCAAGTTTACCACCACATTTTCATTGCAAACCATTTTGTATACGGCGCCATCTCTGATACCTAGAACGAAGCTGGCCGTTACGCGGTAATTTCATTGCAGATAGAGTACAACAATGCTGCTCAGGAACTGGAGCTATTCCAAACAGAATTATTCTGATCATATAGAGTGGTGAAGAAAGGGTAGATCAAATAGAGTAGTGCAGATAGAGTAGAACAGATGGAGGAGTGCAGTGCAGATAGAGTGAAATAGGGCTGCGCTGGAGATTTTTTTTGTTTCCTTTGCATTCTTTGAACATTCCTGTGCCTGAGTTTATTAATTTGGTGGTACACTTTACAAGAATAATGCCCACAAGCTGTCTAAAAAGGGATGATGTAAAATATTAATTTTAGGTGACTTCTGATCCAGAGAGTAAACATTAATTTTCTTCAACCAAAGCCAAATTCACCATCGAAAAAAACTGAATTTATTTCAGCTACTAGATATGTTGACACAACATTTAATAATTCAGAGGCCGTACGAAGTTCGCCGGGTCAGCTAGTGTAATTTAAATTTAAAACTACCCAGGATGCCCCGTAGAAATCTTGGATCTTTCGGATATTTAGGGTGATCGCAGGAACGTCGAATGACTTCGGCCAGAAAGGATCGGCTCTTGGTGTAGAGGTCCTGCGCCCTTTTGTAGAGGGATTGGCGAGGACTCCGACCACTGAAAGTTTGACGTGGTTTGAGGGCTTTTTACCAGCCGCGGCGCCTGAAGTGCCTGCGCTGGGAGGCTGATTTTTCCACCCCTTCTCTAAGATTTGACCCAGAATCGCTCGGAAGTCCAGCTTTCTAAGGCGAAGTCGAATGGTTAACTTCCGGTCAGGGTCATTTAAAGAAGAGTTTCCGAATAACGTTCGCCGTTGTTGTTGTAATTGGGATTGAGAAGGCCGTGGAGTGTGGCCGGCTGCACCAGAAGGTGATTGAAAATGCTGGTCATGCCTCCCGGTTCTCGGTTCGGAGTTGCCACTCCCTCCTGACCGACGTTGGGTTCGTCGGTGAGGTCAATGATAGGAAGGAGAGGTGGCATCAGTGAAGCAGGTGGGGCAGTTGTTAGGTAGTGCGGGGTGGTCATCTATGAATATGACTCGACGTTTGGGTGCCCGATGGAGTGGACCATTAGAGTCATCCCAGGGAGACTTTGGTCTCGGTCTCTTCCGGGTAGAGATGGTTGGGGGTTCAGGACGCACAACTCTGTTCCTTGTCCTGCCTAGACCCTTGGTTCAGGGTTCAGGGGTATTTGCGCTGGTGACTGGTGCGCTATCGTCTCTCAAGATGGGGTTCGATGGGGTCCAAAAGACCGAATAGTCAAGGAACGAGGGTGGGTCGTCCTGGGTCAATCTGGGGGGTGAATTTTTGATGGACCAGGAGTTTGCGAGTAATATCAGTATCATGTAATTTGAATTTACACAGTTTGCCCCTGCAGAAACCTTCCTCCTTCTCCTATAAACAAACTTATAAAGTTATTATCCTGCACCTTGCACCCATGAGAACTTTCAAAAGTCGGCGCTTCTGATCTCAAGCAATCCCCCTTCCAAGTCAGATGAAACCAGCACAAAATCAGCAAAATCCAGACTAAAACCAGCAAAATTCAGCACAAAATCAGCAAAATCCTGCACAAAACCAGCTAAACCAGCAAAATCCAGAACAAAACTAGCAAAATTTCGCACAAAACTAGCAAAATCAAGCACAAAACTAGCATAAAACATAAAGGGATGATTGTGTGTAGTATCTTGAAAGATAGGGGGATAGAGGGCATGGTAGGGGGATACAGGGCGCGGTTAGGGTAGCTGTATGTGTCTCTTTCGACCGTGGCTGGGATGCGGATCTACAGAGAGTGGGGTAGGGGGATGGTTGTATCTTCAGTGGTAGGGGGAGTATTTCTTTGTCCCGTCTCTGTTTTGATCCAGAACGCCTTATACCTATACTACCTAGTGTTATTATATCTTGAAAATCAAGCCCATTTAATTATTGCTTCGCTACACACACACATGCTTCGAATATATATAATTCTTCTCAGTGGTATCAGTTACCTGACATCTGGGTTTGTCATGAAATGTGGGTATTCAGAAGATTATCCTTGACTTTGAATAAATTATTACATCCACATGGTATCTGGTTCAGTCGACAGATAAGTTTGAAGCTTAGTGTTTATCTAGGAAAACATAAATTTTGCCTATTTGTCAATTTCGAGTTACAGTAATGATAATCTTGAAGCTATAAAATTCGATACTTTTCTGGTTTTCAAGTGATTTTTACCCTCGAACAGTTCGCAGAACTCCATGTGTTTGTAAATTTCATTAGGGTCCAATTTTAACTATCTATAAAAATAAAACTTCTCCCACATGCTTCGAATATACATAATTCTTGCCAGCGGTATCAGTTACCTAACATCTAGGTTCGTCCTAAAACGTAGGTATTCAGAAGATTATCCTTGACTTTGAATAAATTATTACAACCTCATGGGATCTGGTTCAGTCGACAGACTAATTTGAAGTTTAGTGTTTATCTACGAAAACATAAATTTTTCCTAATTTGGTATATTTGTCAATTTCGAGTTACAGCAATAATAATCTTGAAGCTATAAAATTCGATACTTTTCTGGTTTTCAAGTGATTTTTACCCTCGAACAGTTCGCAGAACTCCATGTGTTTATAAATTTCATTAGGGTCCAATTTTAACTA